AGACATGCAGGGGACCAGTAGTTAGCATAATGGCTATGTCTGCTGGACTCCCACATAGTCGACCACAGTTCGATTCCCGGACCCAGTGGCTTAAACTCATGCCAGGCACGTGTGCGTGCGTGCCCAAGATCCCGAGAGGAGAGTGGAGGAGAAGGGATTGTGGCGTGGCCATCCGCCCTGAGGGGTGATTTCTCGCTTTCTGTCTCTCTGTCTCTCTCTGTCTGTCTGGTGAGCGCACATGCCCTATAGCAAAAGCCTCTCCAAAAAGAGAGAGAGAGAGAGAGAAAGACCTTGGACCGGAACATCCCAGAAAAGCCATCCTGGATCTTGAAACTCAAACACTAAGATTATTTTAAAATGTGCTATGTGGAGAGACCACCACTTGAGAGAGAGTTTGACTTACAAGATGTTCTTTGTTTGGAAGGCCAGCAAGTGGTGTATTGATTGAGGCACTGAACTCCTACATTGCCAACTGCAGTTCAAATCCTGGACCTGACAGCTTGCTATCTTACTTCTCTCTCTGTCTCTATTTCTGTCTCTCTGGTGCATGCAAGTGCCCTATAGCAAATTTTAAAATAAGGGGACCAGCAGATGGTATAGTGGTTACATCACTGGACTCCTACATGACCAACTGCAGTTCAAGTCCTGGACCCAGTAGCTTGAAAATCACACCAGGCCCATGTGCCTGCATGCCCAAGATCCTAAGAGGAGAATGGAAGAGAAGGGACTGCAGCATGGCCATCCATCCCAGGGAGGGGGGTGGTGATTTCTCGCTTTCCCTCTCATTGTCTCTCTCTGTCTCTCTCTTTCTAGAAAGTACATGTGCTCTAAGACAAAAAAAAAAAAAACTCCATAAAAATATTAAATACTAATAAAAAGTAAAATGATATAAATCATTATTTTAAAAATATGTTCTTTGTTTCACTAAATTGTATAATGTCAAGCAATTCTACGGCTACTGAAAAGAGGATATTTACTACTGCATTAAATACATAATTTCAAAAAAATGTGACTTCCTGGTTTTCTAATTTTAGAAGATATTCAATCATCTAGTGGTTTCACTGTCATGCCATCAGCAATTCTTCTCTAAGTGTCTGCTGAAGTCTTGGAGACTCAGGCTAGCTGGGTATTCTTATAAGACAACATTTGTTTCAAACTTTATATTGTGGTAGAAAAATTGTGAAGGAAGAGAAAGAGGGGCACTAATTTCTAGGTCTGCCATGACAATGTACCACAGTCTGGATGATTTCAGCAACAAAGATTTATTTTTTCATGATTCCAGAGGCTAGAAGTCCAGGTCAAGGTGTCAGCAGAGTTGTCTTTCTCCGAAGCCTTTCTCCTCAGCACGTAGAAGGTCATCTTCCTCTGTGTCTTCATGTGGTTTTTCCCTCTGTGTGTCTTTTCTACTCATTTCTTATAAGAACATCAGTCATGTTGGCTTAGGGTCTCTGCCGATGACCTCAATTTACCACCTGAGTTCAGATACAGTCACATTCTGAAGTCCTCATGGGTAGGATTTCAACAAGAGAATTTGGCAAGGAAGGAGGGGAACACTATTCAGCCCATATATACTGAAATGGGAAAGATTCAGAGAAGTTTAGCCACTGCACAAGGATGATATGCAAATTCGTGAAGCGTTCCATATTTTTTAAAGGATATAGAAACACCATATATAGATGTAAATACCAGATATAGTATTGTGAAAGAGGAGGGTCTGAGGAAGGACATTTAGAAGAAAAATAGGGAGGCAAAGCGTTAATGGCACAAAGAAATGTGGTATTATCTGTTGAAGATATTTTGTAATTTTATCAACTGCGCTAGGGAGAAATGTTCACCTGTTGAAATATCCATTTTGTAAGCCAAATAATAATGTGATTGAATGTATAAAAGAAAAAGAAATGAAAAAAAGAAAACAGAATCATATAGTTTATATAAATAACTCTCATAGAAACCAAATAAAATTATTAGAAATCTTAAGCAGAACTAAATGAGATATATGCAGACTTTTCATAAGTGTACTTTATAATAATTTTCTTCTGCTTTTTTAACTGTAATTTGAATTTCTTCTGCATAAAACATTAGTAATACTGGGGGCCAGCAGGTGGTATGGTGGTTAAGGCACTGGAATTCCCACATGGCTGACCACGGTTCGTGTCCCAGCCTGGTGACTTGCTTTCTCTCTCTCTGTCTCTCTCTGTCTCTCTCTCTCTCTCTTTCTCTGACCAAATTCATGTGAAATAATAATAATAAACAAATAAAGTAAATAATTCTAAAAAAAAATTAGTAATACTCACTTGACACAAACAGTCCAATTCTAAGAAAGACCAATACGGGGACCAGCAGTTAGCGTAATGATTATGTCGTTGGACTCCCACAGAGTTGACTGTGATTCGAGTCCCGGACCCGGTGGCTCACACCGGGCGCGTGTGCATGCGTGCCCAAGATCCCGAGAGGAGATTGGAGGAGAAAAGGTTGTGGCACGGCCATCCCCCCTGGGGGGGGGTGATTTCTCACTTTCCGTCTCTCTGTCTCTCTCTGTCTCTCTGTCTTCCTGGCAAGCGCACAGGCCCTATAGCAAAAACCTCTCCAAAAAAAAGAAAGACCAATATGCAAATACAGTTTTTTTTTTTAATCACCTTACTAGGTATTATTTTAAGCCCATGTTATCTGGTATGCTTGTTTAAACAAAGAGATATGTGAATTAATACCTTGCTTATACTAGAGACCACTATTAGCAAAAGCCCAGACCAATGCCTCTTTTCTCATTCATTTTTCAAATTATCTCAAATAAAAAAGAAAAATGTAAATAATCTACCAACATAAAAAGTACACAATAGATGTTGCAATGATGAGCATTATTTGTAACGTTTGTGCTACGAGCATTGATGGGGCATTTGATGACCCATCCTTCCCATACAACCTCCCAAACAAGGTTACTGTTAAAAGAGGTCTGGATGTTGGCTTCAGGCTAAGCAAGCGACCATCACTGGATACCTAATGAAAACAGAAAAGTAGAATACATCTTTAAGTTACACAAGCCCACGGCGCACTTTTATAATCAGTACAGCTAGATGGAGAAATAATAAAAATATTGGCCAATTTTTTTTCTATCAGAAATATTGAAATGGGTCAGCAGGTGGAGTGGAGGTTAGGGCACTGGATCTCACATAGCCAACTCTGCAGTTCGAGTCCCGGACTGGTTACTTGAAAAATTACACCAGGTGCAAGTGTATGTTTGTGTACCCAAAATCCCGAGTGGAGACTGGAGAAGAAGGCATTGTGGCATGGCCATCCCCCTGGGGGAGGGGGATTTCTCACTTTTCTTTTGTCTCTTTCTGTCTCTTTCTGGTGAGCACATGCACTCTAAAGCAAAAAAAAAAAAAAACAAAAAACAGAATGAGGGGGAAAAAAAGAAAGAAAAGAAAAACAAGAAATGTGTGAAATGTTGCAAAGTATAAGAAAAACTGAGGGCTAGCCCATAGCATATCAGTTAAGCCCTGTGCAGGGAGCCAGATCTCAAATGGTCAACTGTGATTTTGAATCCAGTGGCTTAAAAAACACTGTGTGTGTGTGTGTGTGTGTGTGTGTGCACTCCAAATCTTGATGAAATGGAGAAATGGAGAAAAAGGATTGTGGTGTGACCACCCTCTGCTGGGGAGGGTCTCTCTCTTTCTGGTGAACATATGTACCTTCTTGCAGAGATAGAAAGAGAGGAAGAAAGAGAAGAAAGGAAGGACAGAAGGAGAGAGAAAAAAAGAAAAGGAACGAAAGAAGGGAAAAGAGAGAGAGAAAGAAGAAAGAGAAAGAAAGGAAGAAAATGAAGCAGAAAATGCTATGGATCTGACATTGATTTATTTATTATTGAAATGTCTGTAGTCAATATCTTATATTGTATTTACCTGAGGAAGCATCCCATGAGTTACTAAATATAACATAAAACAATGGTTTCAGTAGGATAGAAGAGAGAAATCTAGTCCTCTGAGCAGATAATGTTCCTGAACTTTAAAAATGAAAGTTGCTTCCTTACTAACATCAGCCACTGGAATTCTCTCTCCTTCAGCTTCTCCCACCCTTTGCTCCCAGGTCATTCTAGTCTTTGACCAACACAGTGAGAAAGGTCCCTCTCAACTCCCCTAGGTCTTCGCTCCCAGAGATCCTAAAGAGCCCTGCCTGGACTGGTCCTGAAACTATTCTTGTCGAATCATCTTCCTATTCCACAGACTTTCCATAGGCCAGCCTTTTCTCTTCATCCCCAAAATAAACTCTACAACAGGACACCAAAAAGTTCATGAAAAAAAAAATGAAACTAAAATGCAAATATATTTTGGTGCAAAAAAAAAATTTGGAAATTCATGTGTAGTGTTTTTATAACACATTTTCCACACACTTGTTGAAATCTCCCCCCCCCATATTACTCTATTCTCAAAGACACATGGATTTTTTTTTAAGTTTATTTATTTCTTACACTGACTATTATGTTAAGAATTTCCAGAGAAAGGGGCAGATAGTGGTACAGCATTAAAACAGCACACTGCACTAGACCAGCTCACAGGAAAAAGAACCTGGTTCACATCTGGAGACCTCCCTAAGTGTGCCAGGCTCACATGACCCAGGGCTGGCTGAAGCTGGGAGTGGAACACAACATCAAGATTCTGTTGGGTGTGCTGGCTCTGTCTTTCTCTCTGTTGCTCATAAAAGGAAGCAATAGGTAGATAGGTAGGTAGGTAGATAAGTAAATAGAAAGACAGACTTTTTAGAGAAGGAATTCATGTCATTCATGATCCTCAAAAATAATCTTGTCCTTTCCAAATGGAGATTATTATATTTATAAGCATTCAGGTAGGTTTTGAACTCAAAAATGCCTGCTCTTACATGAAATCAATTGGCAATCTCAAGTAAAGTTTCTTACCTGAAATTCCCCAGGTGCAAGCTGAATTTCACTCAGCAATACCTCTGGAAAAACATACTGGGTTCTGAAAGTGCCACTGAGGGAGAACATTTCAAACCGGGTGGAAGCCGTTTCAACTGAGTCCCCACAAGTGTTTAAGTCTGTTGTTTTACACTTCAGCAGAGTACAAATCTAGGAAATTAATGAAAATCGGTAAGTCGTAGGAAAGTCATGATGAATATGTTAATTAGCAGGATTTAATAATTTCACAATGTAGGGCCAACAGATGGAATAGTGGTTACGTCATTGGACTCCCACATGGATGACTGTGGTTCGAGTCCCAGATTCAATGACTTGAAAATCACACTGGACATGCGTGTGTGCGTGCCCAAGATTCCAGGAGGAGAATGGAGAAGAAGGGATTGTGGCTTGGCCATCCCTCCCAGAGGTTGATTTCTCACTTTCTCTCAGTCTTGTCGCTCACCCTCTCTAGTGAGTGCATGTACCCTAAGGCAAAAAACCTCTCCCAATAAAATCATTTTACAATGTATACATATATCAAAACATCACATTGTACATTGCAATTATACCAACATCTGTATGTTAATTACACCTTGATAAAGTTGGATGGAGGACCAGCAGGAGATGTGGTGGTTAAGGTGCTGGATTCCCAGATGGCCAACTGGACAGTTCAAGTCTCGGACCTAGTGACTTGAAACATATGCTGGGCACATGCACATGTGTGCCCAGAATTCCAAGAGGAGACTGGAAGAGAAGGAATAGCAGCACGGCCATCCCCCCTGGAGGTTATGTCTCGTTTTCCCTTTTCTCTGTCTGGTAAGCTTACTTGCCCTATGACAAAAAAAAAAAAAAAACAAAAAACAAAAAAAAAAAAAAAAAAAAAAAAAAAAAAAAAAAAGGGGGGAAAAAAAAAAAAAAACATACAACAAAAAAATGTGGAGAGGATTTAAAAATTAAAAATAAATAAATAAAATGGTGGCTGGTAAAATGTCAACAAAGTTAATTGAAATAAACTCCTGGCACAGAAAAATGCCTATGCCTCTTTGTTTTATAAAATAATATTACTTCTTAATTAGGTATATCAAGCTTACTGCTGAAGAATACAATTAGTAATTACAAAATTAGGGACTGCAGACTCCAGTGCTTTCTGCAATTCCCTGCCAAACAGATTAACCACACAAAGAGACCATTGGATCCTTGGCTGGTAGCCAAAAACAATTATACCCTCATTGTTCTCAAGTTAGCAATGCTTTTAGACATTTCTCAAAGGTTTAATCTAGACAATAGATTAATTGCCATCTTATTCCCTATCTCACACAATAAAAGAACTTTAGAGTTATAATGTTCCCCAGAGTTGAACTAGAGCCAATACCTGTGATCTGTAAAATTCACATCCTCTTTATCTGGCCAAGGACTGAAACAGTTAAGAAAGAAATGTAAAACCTATCAATTATGTTTTTCTACATGCCACTCACAGTGCTTTCACAATCTGTGATGTTACATCATGCAAGAAAAATTTCTATTATTACCAAAAACTACTTCCTAACCAAGTGAGAAAAGAGAAAAAGAAGTAAAGGTGAAATAAACACCCTTCTGCCATTTTACATTTATATATTACATCAAACTTCCCCCAAACCCTGTAAAGAATATACTATTGTTATCATCATCATCATCATCATCATCATCTTTACCTCCGGAACTCGTCAGTCCCTCCTGTGATGTGTACTAATTGTGCATGGTGCTTTTCCTTTGCAGCATTTGTCACTACTAAAATCAGATAGTAATTGGCTTCATTTTCTGTTTGATGCATGTCCCCACTAGGCTCAAGCTCTGCGGAGACACTGACCACATCTCTCTTGCTTATCCCAATATCCTCAGACTCTAGCAAGTACCTGGAAATAGCCAGCATTACATAAATACTGGGTGAATGAAAATAAATCCATGTGCTAGGAACGAGGTTAGCTAAAGATTTAAAGAGGCTGACAGGCTGGTCCAAGGCCAGGTGGCTCCTATTTAGTGAAGGGATGGATTCAATCTGGATTTTCTGAGTGCAGAAGCCATGATCTCCGCATGGACCTTGAGCCCCATGTGTTTAATTTTTTTTTTTTTTTTTTTAGCAGAATTGTTCTTCCCAAACTGTTTCTCCCTGAAGCTTTCTCATTAAACTAGGGAATTGGTTTTACATTCAAAAAGACAAAGCATCTGGCTGTTTGGATGACTCTCACCTTGATGAGAGGATACTGGGAGTGACTGAGGAAGGAAAAGCTCCTAAGTGCATCAGGTAAAGGGAAAAAATTTCTTTTATGAATTTATTCCTTTATTCATTTACTTACTCAGTTATTCTTTAAAATATACAGGCTGCACCTCCTTCCCACTCCTAAAGCAATTATTCCAGATCATTACTTTCTCAGATCTCTTATTCAAACTGTTTACCCACCTTTTACCACCCCCTACTCTCAAATGACACAACTACCTCTTTCCCCACTTCCTTATAATTCTTACAGAATGGTAGGTACTCACTGCAGAGTGCTTGGAAAATTTGTGTGTTATTTCACGTTAACCTCTTTCTTTCTCATCTCTCACTTGGTTAGGAAGAAGTTTTTGGTGCTAATAGAGATTTTTCTAGCACAATATATCATCGTAGATTATAAAAGATTATGAAGATAATACAATATAAAATCCCTTATTCTCAATACCCAAATCCAAAATTCTCTGAAAATTAAGGATTTTTGTAAGCCATTTGACATTAAACTCCAACTTGAACTAACACCAATTATAATGTATCTATTTAAGCTATTTAGCTATTTATCTTCCTGTCTTCCAGTGGATGTATTAATGTGTTTGATTCTTCTGTGCTGCTCCTGATTCTGTCCTATCAGGTAATACGTGTGGTTGTCTTTATTGAATCAGAAAATTCTTCATTCCAGGGAACCAGCAGTTAGTGTAATGGCTATGTCGCTGGATTCCCACGTAGTCAACCACGGTTCGTGTCCCAGACCCGGTGGCTTAAAACTCACGCTGGGCGCGTGTGCGTGCGTGTCCAAGATCCTGAGAGGAGAATGGAGGAGAAGGGATTGTGGCGTGACTATCCCCCCTGGGGGGTGATTTCTCGCTTTCTGTCTCTATGTCTCTGTCTGTCTGGCGAGCGCACGCGCCCTATAGTGAAAAACCTCTCAAAAAAAAAAAAATTCTTAGTTCCAAAATGTGCTATGGGACCGATGGTTTGGATAAGAGATCACCACCCAACAATACCAGCAAAGGTCTTGGTTTTACTTGAGAGAGCTCACCTACCTCAGTACCAGAGACGGACGTCCCACTGCTCTTGCAGCCAAATTTGGCTAAGTTTGGGTCCTTAGTACTCCTGCAGCAAAATGTGCACTCTATGTTCTATATGTTCACATGACAACCTATATGTTCTATATGTTCACATGGCAACCTATATGAAATTATATTTTGAAAGTCTATCTTTAGAGATGAAATTTCTCAAGAAGAGGGTCTTTACTTACTCATATTTCTTTTTTTTTTTCTATTTAGATTTTTGCTATAGGGCACATGTACTTGCTGGAGTGAGACAGACGGAGGAAAAGTAAGAAATTACCGCCAGAAGGGATGGCCATGCTGCAATCCCTTCTCCTCACTTTCCTCTTGAGATTTTGGGCATACACACATATACACCTGGAGTGATTTTCAAGTCGCTGGGTCTAACACTTGAACCCCATTCGACCATGTGGAAATCTGGTGCATTCACCACAACACCTGCTGGCCACAACTTACCTATCTTCTTATCAGCACTGAATATATACCTGACATACAGTATTATAAGTACTCAATAAATGTGAAAATGTTGGGGCCAGCAGGTGGCATAGTAGGTAAGGTGCTGAACTCCCACATGGTGGATTATGGTTTGAGTTCTGAACATGGTGGTTTGAAAATCATGCTGAGCATGTATGCATGCACACCCAAAATCCCAGGAAGAGAAGAGGAAAAGGGATTGCAATGTGGCCATCCCCTCTGGGGGATTATTTTTCACCTCCTCTCTTGCTATCTCTGTCTTTCTCTGGCAAACACAACAAGACATTGTGAGTCGTTTACATTAAGGAATTTGATTTGTCAAATCAGCGGTCAGTGAGGAAGTTTAAGCAAGAGAAGATAGAAAATAGCTTTTCGTAACTTTTGTAATTAGACAGCAGACCATGTACTAGATAGATGAAGTGGAGACTGTCAGCCCGAAGCCTGGTTAGGAAGATACTGCAATAGAATAGGTGAGACTGCATGGGGGCCAGACTAAGGAAGAGTGGAGCAGAGAGAAAATTGAAGCCATTTAACATTTAACCCATTTAACCTTTTTTTTTTTTTTTTTTTTGAAAGAGAGATTTTTGCTATAGGGTACATGTGCTCACTGGAGAGACACAGAAAGACAGAAAATGGAAATCATCCCCTAGGGGCAATAGCCCTGCTGAGATCCCTTCTCCTCTATCCTCCTCTCAGGATCCTCGGCACACATGCACACACGCCCAGCATGAGTTTTAAGCCTCCAGGTACAGGACTCAAACCGCAGTCGACTGCATGGGAGTCCAGCAAAGTAACCATTACATCATCTGTTCCTCCTGGAGCCATTTCATCTTAAGGGTTCTAGCATCTGGCCATGATGGATAGCCCCTTTGATAGCTTCTCCTTTGTGTTGCCTGCGTGGAGATATCTCAATCTTTGCAGCAATAAAAATTCTACTGAACGATCCAAAAGATCAAGTCTATCTGTCTGCAATACATACTTAGTGTCAAGTCCTTTAGAAATCAAGGTAGTCATTCATGAAACTAGAGGAGATATAGCCAATTTATTTCAGGCAGGAGATATCATAGATTTCAGTTATCCACTGAAACAACTGTAATTGGAATACTTTTAAATACTAATACTGCAGTAAAGGTCCTGCTTTTCCCCACCAGTTTAAAATGGAACTGATATCTAGGATGGCAAGATTTAGCAAGGGAAAGTATGGGCTGTCTAGCTAAATTTGAATTTCAAATAAACAACAATGTTGTTAGCATATGTAAATCCCCACAAGTGAGACTTACCTCTACTAAAATTCATTCTGTTTATCTGAAATTCAAATTTAACTAGAATGTTTGTTGTTCATCTAGTAACTCTTTGGACACCAAAACATTACCTGGAGATAATAATGCCCTTCCACAGTGTGCAGTCCATCAAATGCCCCGAGGACATAAACTTCATCTGACCTCTTCTCAGACATCTCGTAGCTCAGATGACAGCATAGGTCTTTCTGACAAACCGTGTAATTTCCAGTGACTTCTGTGAGCTTCACGAAGGTAAATTCATCAAAAAAAATAATGCCTTTAAATTCTTGGTTTCCCATCGTTACTGCGTCTATACTACTAGCATAAGAAGTCCAGTTAACTGCTGTAGGCTGGGGTGGGTGGGAATCCAGTTGTGAGAGAAGGAGTTTTCCCTCCTCTGTCTTCATATCATAATGAAATACTCTTGGAGAACCAGGTGCATAGATGCCACTTCCTGGAAATAATAAGTTGGAAATGCCATTTGAAATTTTAAAAGTAAAAGGGATTTCACAGTTGTTAGTGTTATCTTAAATTTAACATTTTACTACCTCTAAGCCAGTAGTAGTTCCCAACCTTCCCAGCACCAGAGACCTACCTCTTAGAAGACAGTCCTCCA